AAAAATTCTGTTATTACCTTGATCCAATCACTGTAGTAACAACTTATCAGGGTGTAATATTGTCGTATTTTTATTTCTACATTAACTTTATTGACAATTCTATTACTAGAATTTTTCGCAATTAAATCACTGATTTTGTATTCATTGTCATTGTCCATAAAACCTGATTGGGGAAGATATGTTATTATTTCATTCCAAAGAGGTTTCCGCAAAAGAAACTCCATGTCATCTTCATATGACGCTGTTGTTGAAGTTATTATATTATTAATCAAACACAGGTAAACAACATAAAAAAAAAGTTTCAAATACATTTTTAAATTTTATTTTTATTTGAAAAAAAAAGAGAATAATTGAATTAAAACAAAAATTACTCTGAGAGTTCGTTCAAATGTGTTTACAATACTGTCGTAATACAAAATAAACCACAAAGGGGGGTGAGAATTATTAAATATTACTTGTGTATGAATTATAATACTGTTGCGTCATTTACTAAAAACTTCAATTTTTATATTAACCTTGAATGACTGCCCTTAAGTAAAATGCTTTATAATAAATATGTAATAATTGATGTACAAATAACAAGTCGATAAATAAAAAAATTTATATTTATTCAAATTGCAAGAATTTATGCAGTATATTAGAGAATTGGATAAAAATATATATAATAAAAATTTTTCCCTTCAATATTACTAATAATACGTTTTTATTTGAACTTATCTATTTTTATTTCACAAATCATCATAAATATATATCAGTTGCTGTTGATTTAAATAAGCATTTAATTTCTTTTTAATTAATTATCATATAAATATGATTATTAAATTATTGATTGTGATATAAAATATCACAAAAACTATTACATTCTAAAAAAGTTAATACCACATTTAAAAGTACTACAAAAATGATTTTAATGAAATCTAGTAAATTTAATGAATTTAAATTTAACCTACATACATTTTTTGGAAGTTATCCCTAGAACTAACTTCAGGAATATTTTTAATTAAACTATAATTGATATCATGGTTTATAAGCTAAACAAACTTCATTCGGCATATTTTTATGAACAATTCATTATTTAATACATAAATTGGATATAGTGCATTTAATAAGTCACACTATATTATAATATTAGTACAAAATTCTTTCAAACTTCCTTTAAGAGCCTCAATATACCATAAATTATTAATACTGATTTTTTTAAAATGTTTATGCAATTTTTTTATCAGAGAATCAAATTATAAAATGTTATATACCTTAGTATATAACAGTCAATAAGTACCACTAAAACTTATTCATATATTTTGTTAGAAAATAATAATAAATTTTAAATTGACAGTTTTAGGTAGAAAACTAAAGAAAAATTAATTATCTTTTCTTTGTCAGGTAAAGTTATTGTTATAGCTATTAGTCAATACGTTTTACATTGTAGTATATTAACAATAATTTTTTATTGATAATATTAACATATTTTTTTAATATGATGAAGATTTTTTCTAAATTTTTCAATCATGTAAGATAATTAAGATGGACAGGAGTTATTTAATTAATTTTTTTAATACTATTTTAAAGTTCTATAGAGTACAAAATGCAGAACAATTAAAAATATTTTATAAATTAAAACTAAAAACTAAATACTAATTATGTATATATCTTAAAGATTATTAATTTTTAAATAGTTTTCATTTTATTTTATGAACTAATAGTAATATATTGAGAACATACTTCTCACAATTTTTTATCAATTTCACAAGTGTTATTAAATACTATTCGGGTATTCTAGTATTATGATAAATTTCTAATTTTTATGTCATTTAAGTCACAATTATTAGTATAATGATTTCAACAGGGCCGTTGCTTTAGATTATTTTGGAGGAACGTTAAATATATACGCCAACTATATTTTTTAAATATAGTGTAATTAATAATATTAGCTTCTATTTATTTATTAAAAAATAACTTTTGTGAAACATTCATCTTATTTTTTAAGTAAAAGTCAATGATAATTTTCTTATATTTAAAATATGAATTTTTTTCCTAAGAATTGAGAGCACAATCGATATTTTAGAATGTGATATATAGTGTTTACATGTTAATTAATCCGGAAACCCAATAATTGGATATTTGATTGGAAAAATTAATAATTCATTGACAATTAATAACAATTATTGTAGATTAACAGTCTTAAAAAAAATATGGGTAGATAAAATTTCAATAAATGCTTTATTTTATCGTAACATAAAAACTGTGTGTAGGTACAAATAATTTAAAAAGATCTAATATAAATATTGTTTTATAAAAAATTTATTAATAATAATGTGTAATATAACTATAAACAACTATATGTATGTGATAGTTTATATTTACCAAAATATTCTCAACATTTTAATGGAATATTTTGTCTTTAGTTTAATATTTATAATATTTATCTACTTATGAATGTAAAAGTACTTGTTTTTAATCATTGTATAAAATTAAAAAATCTGTAGTTATAAATAATCTTAAGTTAATCTCTCTCAAATATATTTTTATAATATATTCTTTCTGATTCACTGATTCACTGATATTAACAAATACAATTTTTTTTAATTTTTTTTTAATTTGGCAATCAATATATCAGTAATTTTTTTCAAATATAAAATAAGTATTAGTTAAATTTTTATCCTGAAATTTAAATGTCACTATTGGGAGACTTCTTTATCATAAGTTTATTATTTTTATTTTTATTATATTAACACATGTATATTATATGTTTTATTAATAAAAAAAAACCCAGCACAGGGGGGTCACGGTACAGTGGTGACGTGGTATAGATGGATCAAGTATAATGATATCTGACAGTGATTAAAATCACTATAAAAAAAAAACGCTTCGATGCAAATCTTTAGATAGTGTTTAATTTTAAAAAATTGGTGGATTATTCCAAAAGCTACATGATCTGCTAGTTCATTATTAATATCCTAATTAAGATAAAGTATGTAGAATGAAAAAGGGATTATTAAAAAATATTATTTCTCATAAAAAAATAATATTGAATCATACACTTTTCAATATGTCATAGCATTATAAAGTTAAAAATGTAAAAAATAAAATCCAGAATTTTCACACAATAAAGCATTCGGTAGCCATTTTCACCGTAAAAATAAAATAAAGTCCGAAATTTTTTTTTCGCATAATAAAGTAAATTACATTAGCTTTAATTTAAGATATATATATAAGTGTCAGACTTTCCGGAACACTTTCAAAATTTAAGTTGAAAAAGTAAATTTTTTGTGAAAAAGTGGTCATTTTAAATCCCCCCCTGTGGGCAGGTAAAGGGTCAGATATAAAAAAAATATATACCAAATGATAGGTAAAGACATCATGCATCTATAAAAAAAAATTATATTGATCCATACATCTTTCAAAAAATTATAGCATTATAAAGTAAAAAATATAAAAAAGAATTGTTTTACAAAAATCGTATTTTTTTTTATAAACTTTGATGTCTGTTTTCACCATGAAGATAAAATAAAGCCCGAAATTTTTTTTCTGCATAATAATGTATATTACATTAGCTTTAATTTAAGATATATATAAAAGTGTCAGACTTTCCGGAACACTTTCAAAATTTAAGTTGAAAAAGTTCTACTTTCTACATGCATTTTTTAGATTTGAACCCCCCTCGTATATAGGGAAATAGTAGGATTTCAAAAAACAGTATGTCAAATGAAAGATGTATATAAATACTACTACTCATGAAAAAATTGTACTGATCCATACATTTTTCAAAAAGTTATGGCATAATAAAGTTAAAAATGTAAAATACAAAATCGAAATTTTTCACACAAAAATAGTATTTGGTAGCCATTTTCACCGTGAAGATAAAATAAAGCCCGAAATTTTTTTTTTGCATAATAAAGAACATTACATTAGCTTTAATGTAAGATATATATAAAAGTGTCAGACCTTCCGGAACATTTTCAAAAGTTAAGTTAAAAAGTTAATTTTTTGTGAAAAAGTTGTCATTTTAAATCCCCCCCTGTGGGCAGGTTAAGGGTTAAATTTATCAAAGAAATATACCAAATGAAAGATAATGATATTATGCATCTATATAAAAACGAGTTATATTGATATGTTCATTTTTGAAAAAGTTATGGCACTTTTAAGTAAAAAAAATTGAAAATTTTTCAAAAATTAGCGATTTTTAAATTTGTAATTTTTTGGATATTTCCCCCATTTGCGGGAAACGAGGGCATTTTTTTCAATTTTTGAGGGTAATATCTTCGACTAGATACAATTGGTGATCTTTTGACGTATCATTGAAAGAAATCGGTTCGGTGAGAGCTGAAAAAAAGTGGTAACAGACACAAAAAAAAAAAATAATAAATAAACACATCTTAGTAAAACCAATACCTTCTCAGCTTCGCATCGAAGTTAAAAAAAAGTTTTATCATTTAACTTGTAATTTAATTTAAATATTTAGAATACATGTGAACAAAGTTTCTATAAAAGGACAGTTGAATTTTGGAAATTTTCAGTTTCTCCGTCGATTTTATTAGAGTTTATATGACGGAAATATTGTTAACATTATAATATCAATGTAACCACTGGGTATCAATAAATTAACAAATAAAGTTAGGCATTAAGTATACACATAAATGAATGACGTATTAATTATGTCTAGGAATTATATACATTTATAAATTTCGTTAAGATTTATGAAAACATTAGTAAAATTTTTTATAAATTGACTGGAAAACTTAATAATGTGTTGTTACCAATATAACAATTTGGGGATTATTTCCCACTAAAACGAAAAATATTTCTACGGTACTATAATACAGTCATATGATTGTATTAAATCCTACGACAAAGTTTCACAAATTGAACTCTCTAAGTTGCTGTTTATGACTTGTCCATCTTTATATGAACTCTGTTTATAAGTTGAAGGCCAAAAAAAAAAGTCATTTCTTATTTTTTCATGGAATTTTTTTCTTAATTTTTATTTTATTTTATTTTATTGAGGTTACATAAATGTCATTATATTAAGTTATCTTAATATAATTTATGATTTTTTTTTCAGATTAACAATGTAATATAAATAATTATAGTGCACAAATAAAATATTTCTGACAGATAAAATTTAGCTGAAATAACATATTTTGTCTTTTAGATAATCAAAAATTTAAATGTGATTGACAATAAAATATAGATAGTTTTTACACACTAAGCTGTATCACTATAAATTTACATTTTTTAATATTATTTTTTGAATACTTTTGCTTTAAATATGAAAAATTAATAAATAACGGCATATTTCGATTTTAAAATTTTCTAAGAATTAGATGGTATTATGTATTTAATTATGTCTATATAATAATGACGCAATTCATCAAATAAGCTTTTTACTCCTATAAGAAATGTGGATTCTTTTAATACGGACGTATGTTTGCTGTTAGTGTTGTAACAAAATCCAAGTTCATGAAAACATTCCTCAAAATTCTCTTCACTTCTATTTAAAATGTGGGTTAAATCCGACACTATATCTTGCGAACTATCAGGGCTAGATAAAATTGCCTGTAAAAATTGTGATACCATATTCATTGTGCCTTCCAAATTTCTATTTCTTTCAAATCCAGAATACGAATTGTCAAATAAGTCCAAAAAATATATTATTCGATCAAATTTGTGAACGATATGAGAAAGATTAACACAATCAATACGAGATTGTTTTAAATTATATATAGCTGTTGAAATATGAAAATTAGGCAATATTCTTATTAAATTTGATTGATTAGAACTGTTTAGATATTTATGATATTTATCTAATATCAAATTAAGGGAACTCACCATCATGGTTAACACATTATCGTATACATCAATTAAATCTAGAAAACCTCCATAAAGATTCCACTGCTGTTCATTGACTCTATAGTAATCTGCAATTGTTTTAAATACTATAATTATAACTCTGAACCAATCACTATAAATGCAACCTAGTAGAATATAATATAGTTCTAATTTTTCTTTAATGTTATTTTCGTTGACAATATTTCCATCCTCGTTCATTGCAATAATTTCATTAATTGTATATCTTCTATTGTTGTACTTCACGCCTAAGTTGGGTTCTATATTCGCCAAATTTTGCCAAATAGGTTTTCCTAAAAGAATGTTCATGTCATTAATTATTTCATAACACGTTGGAGGTATTGCATTTCCAAAAGTGCACAACAAAATTAAAAAAAACTGATATATCAATAACATTATGAATTCTGTTACAACTAAAAAAATGAGAAAATATATTATAAAATACAATAATTTGAATTAATTTCTAAATTTTTTAGACTTGCTTAAAGTTTTAAATAAAATATATTAGAGGATGTGATAATTTAAAGTATGGTTTTATACAGATAAACGATATACGTTTGTGAGTATTTGGACACCTGATAAAATAAAAACTATTAATATAAGTTTAATAAATATACATTTATAGACATTTCATAGAAAATGGTCAAAATGTGATTTATTCACAGTTTTGAGTAATACTGGTTTTTAATTTTAATGATATTTTATTGTCAATAACTAAATTTATTTTGAAATTAAAAAAAAAAATCTGTTTTATGTTTAAATTTATAAAAAGATTTATGGTTCAATTAAATATGAAATCTGTAAAACCTAAGCTTTGAATATTGTTTTTTACTAAAATGAAGTTGGAACTATTTATCAAAATATCCATATCGAACTTAAATTTTTAAATGGACCTCAAATCTAATTTATGAAAAAATATTATGATATAATAAATTATTTTGTTTTAACGACAGTACATTCGATACATGTGTACTAGATAGTATTTAAATTAGTATTGAATCTGGTGTAAATAAGTTTTTATAAATGCAATATATGATTAAAAATCATTTAAAATTTCTTATCAATGATAAATGAACTGTAATCTTGAAATAATATCAATAATATAGAGTAAGTGATTTTAGTTGAGCTTTACGATTATGAATAAAATCACAATTTAGAATCTCATTACAGATAGTAAAGAGTTTTAAATTCTTACATAGATAATTTTTCATTATTTTAACATTTTTAATAATATTATAAAGTTAGAAACTTTGTATGGAGCGTTTAAGAGCTATAATCTTGCATAATCTTAACTAATATAAGAAAAGATATAATTTTTTCTACATCGTATAAACTGAATTAGTATCGGCTTTCAAATAGCAACCCAAATTCTTTAATATCATAGAATATTATGTTCAATTAAAAAAAAATGATTTTCTTCGATTTTCAATCAATTACAGCTGTTGAATGTTTAGACACTAACGGAGAAAATGCGATTTTATCCATAAAAACAGCAAAATTATCATGGACATTAATAAACGATTTCGGTTTATAAAAATACAATAAACTGTAATAATAATTGTTTGAATGGTACATAAACTTAAAAGTATAGTAACTCGTTAGGAGTCAAATCATTTTTTTTTTCATTTAAACTATTGATAATTTTTCAAAAAATCTACATTAAATTAAAGCAAATACAATATTATTTAAAATAAAAAAATTATAATAATATGAAATCTTGATTTCACGGAGTTATTAGCTACTAAAGAAATAATTGAGACATTTTCGGTAAAAATGGTCGATTTTGTAGTTTTTTGCATATTAAAATGAAATACTTGCATTATTATAAAATAAGCTTGTGTATTGAGCATAGTTTCAATGAAATGTCTTTATATTTGGTAAATCAGATTATTTTTTTTTTATTTGTTCCAAATACTTATCGAAGGTTTATGCAATAATGATTAAATTTATTATCCTATACCAATCAATGATAATGTAAAAAAAAAAAATTCACATTATCAATATTGACCACAAAATAAAATGTTTTATTACTAAATTCACTGTATAATTATAATTTTTTTTTGTACATTGGTCTAAAGTTACATTAAGTCAAAAATTATATTATTATAAGTGTAAAACTTTTAAGTTTAAGAATACATATAAAATATAAATGACTAAAATGATGGAACAATGAATTATGTTAAAATTTATATTCTTTCTGATACACTGATATTAACAAATAAATAAAAATTTTTTTTTCATTTCAATTAAAATTAATTATTCATACTAATTTGGCAATCAATATATTATTAAAATTTTAATTCTGAAATTTAAGTGTCACTAATGAGAGATTTCTTTATCATAAGTTTATTATTTATTTGTATTATATAAACACATGTTTATTGTATATTTTATTAATAAAAAAAAAGTTTTATCTTTTAACTTGTAATTTAATTAAAATATTTAGAATATATGAGGACAAAGTTTCTATAAAGGGACAGTTGAATTTTGGACATTTTCAGTTCCTCCGTCGATTTTATTGGAGTTTATATGACGGAAATATTGTTAACATTATAATATCTGTGTAACCACTGGGTGTCAATAAATTAACAAATAAAGTTAGGCATTAAGTATACACTTAAATGAATTACATATTAAATATGTCTAGGAATTATATACATTTATAAATTTCGTTAAGATTTCTGAAAACATTAGTAAAATTTTTTATAAATTGACTCGAAGACTTAATAATGTGTTGTTACCAAGATTACAATTTGGGGATTATTTTCCACTAAAACGAAAAATATTTCTACGGTACAATAATACAGTCATATTGTAGTAATACAAAAATAAGCAAAAAAGATGATGGTTAGGTGATGGGTTTATTTTTTGACCAATGTTGGATATGTGGGGAGTTGGTTAATTCAAGAGGAACGAAGGTTCTAACGGGGTTGTAGAGTCCAAGCAAGGGCTTAGAACAATAAAGACAAGTAGATATAAAAAGAAATGATTAAAGTTTCTCTTAAGCTATCTTAATATAATTTATGATTTTTTTTTCAGATTAACAATATAATATAAATAATTATTGGGCACAAATAAAATATTTCTGATAGATAAAATTTAATTGAAATAAAATATTTTGACTTTTGGTCAATCAAAAATTTAAATGTGATTGACAATAAAATATAGATAGATTTTACACACTAAGCTGCATCACTATAAATTTACATTTTTTAATATTAATTTATAAAATACTTTTGCTTTAAATATAAAAAATTAATAAATAACGGCATATTTCGATTTTAAAATTTTCTAAGAACTAGATGGTATTATGTATTTAATTATTTCTTTATAATATTGATGCAATCCATCAAATAAGCTTTTCACTCCTATAAGTAATGTGAATTCTTTTAATACGGACGTGTTTTTTCTGTAAGTGTTGTAACAAAATCCAATTTCTTGAAAACATTCCTCAAAATTCTTTTCACTTCTTTTTAAAATGTGGGTTAAATCCGACAGTTTATCTTGCGAACTATGAGGATCAGATAAAATTGCCTGTACTAATTGTAATATCATATCCATTATCTCTTGCGAATTTCTATTTCCTTCAAATCCAGAATACGAATTGTCAAATACGTTCAAAAAATCTATTATTCGATCAAATTTGTCAATGATTTGATAAAGATTAAAACAGTCGTTACAAGAATGTTTTAAATTACGTATAGCTGTTGAAATATGAAAATTAGGCAATGTATTTATAGGATTTATTGAATTTGATTGAGTAGAACTGTTAATATAAGTATAATATTTATCTAATATTAAATTAAGGGAACTCTCCATCATGGTTAACACCTTATCGTATTTCACAATTAAATCTAGAAAAACTTCATAAAGATTCCACTGCTGTTCAAAGACTCTATTGTGATCTGCAATTTGTTTAAATAGTATAATTATAACTCTGAACCAATCACTATAAATGCAACCTAATAGAATATAATATAGTTCTAATTTTTCTTTAAAGTTATTTTCGTTGACAATATTTCCATCCTCGTTCATTGCAATAATTTCATTAATTGTATATCTTCTATTGTTGTGCTTCACGCCAAAGTTGGGTTCTATATTCGCCAAAGTTTTCCAAATAGATTTTCCTAAAAGAATATTCATGTCATTAATTATTTCATAACACATTGGAGGTAAGGCATATCCAAAAGTGCACAGCAAAATTAAAAAAAACTGATATATCAATAACATTATGAATTCTGTTACAACTAAAAAAACGAGAAAATATATTATAAAATACAATAATTTGAATTAATTTCTAATTTTTTTAGACTTGCTTAAAGTTTTAAATAAAATATATTAAAGGATGTAATAATTAAAAGTATGGTTTTATGCAGATAAACGATATAAGTTTGCGAGTATTTGGACACCTGATAAAATAAAAACTATTAATATAAGTTTAATAAATATACATTTATAGACATTTCATAGAAAATGGTCAAAATGTGATTTATTCACAGTTTTGAGTAATACTGGTTTTTAATTTTAATGATATTTTATTGTCATTAACTAAATTTATTTTAATAATTACAAAGTTCTATTTTGCTAACTAGTTTCGTGAAATAATAATTATTATTATAATTATTATAAATAATAATTAGTTGGTTATTTTTGAGTATATATTTGAAAACATGTTTGTACTTTATATTTATGTCGTCAAATAAACAGTCATGAAAACATTAATATATTAATATTATATGTTATAGGATATGCTTTTCGAATCTTCTGTATTTTTTTGGGGTACTAATACTATAAAATATTATTGGGGTTTGATATGAAATTCTATGTTATAGAAAGACATACTAGCATATTAATATTGTTGATACGAAATATAGTGTTAAAATTGAAATATTATTATATAATTGTGATGACCTCAGCACCCGAAATGACGATCCTAACGATGCGCATGAGGACCGCAGGGCCTCAGGTCTGGATCGAAGCCTAGTTATTAAATTCTTATGTTTATGATTGGATTAAATTTTTTTAATAATGTTGGAAAAATTAAATCTTTTTATACGGAGCCGAAAAGTGTTCTATTTAAAAAGAACTTTCAATGGAATGTACGATATCAATGATAGCCATGGCTTAATATATTTTTATTTTTTAATTATTTAAAATTTATTATCCTTGTCCATAAAATTTCGCTTGCTTTATTTATACAAGTAGTTAACATTTTCCCTTCGCGAATTATAGGCGTTTTTTTTTTTTTTTGAAGACACAATTCCCACCGCTTTAACTACAGTTATTTTTCAATTTCAAACGGTATTGCACAAATGACATTGTAATTTGGAACCGCAATATTTCACTCACATCATTGATTGTTGTGTTATGCCATAGACGATATTCCGTGGAATATCATAATTCTCAAAAATTGCTACCAATAAATCAGTGAAGTGCATTTTCGGTTTGTAAAAATGGCCAATTCATACACGTCCCTAGCCAAACGTGTGTAAAATTGTATACAATGAGACGTTATTGAATGTTATTATTATTGCAAAATTTTTTGTGCCCATTGAAAACGGCTGTGTGTACGTCGAAAGCAGTGGCTGAGCATAAGACAGGTATGTAATAATAATAATAACGATATTGGCATCCGAGAAGGTACACGAGTATTTGCCGCCCCGTTTTTAACACTGCCGCTGTAAACAAACAAAAACTGATTTATGCCGCGCGCTACTATTTTGCCGTGTTTACATTATGCAACGTTCGTGGGAACGACACTCGTGTGTATATCAGTGAAAATGATGAGCCCGACAATCGGTCAAAAATGGTATTTTATTATTGTGTTCACTCGAATCGCCTCCGTACAGTCATCTATTTCAACCCCAAACATTGGTTTTCCTATCCATTTACAAACCCTCGACGCGCATTTAACGCGATAATAAATTATGTTTACATATTTCAACGTTCTCTTCGTATAAATGGTCAACGCAATTATTATTCTAACACGAATCGTTAAAAATGTCGAGATTCGTTCTCTGTCGAGTTGTAACAATTTAATTAATAGATTTATGACACACCGACATAAATCATTCACACTCCAATAAACTTTTGAATTCTTTCGGAATGTATTAATTATTGTTCGCTGTTGATAATATTGCTTGACACATTGCAATGTAATTGCCCTGATTTATTCGCAACATTTTTAATTTACATATTACAATCAACTCTGGTTGTTTTGGTAATTGACCATTTAAATAACTATGACGTTCGATTATTTTGTTAATCGATACGGTATTACAAAACATGTATTAATGATTTTGTTGTGTATACAAACCAATACAAGAATAGCATCAATAACGAATAATTACTATTGTATAAAATCCTTCATCGCTGCAAGCATTCAAATCTCTTTTATACTCTAGGACGTATATTCATCACTGAAAAGTGGTATTAAGTGGCTTTAATTACTGAATGAATATTTATCTTAACAAACGAAGCCGCCATACTTGTTAGAGCAACGTACCGTTCCTCGAGTAGTTGCAAAGATCTTCTGTTCATAAATAATTTCATGTTAAATTAGACAAGCCAATAAGCGAATCAAAAATATTTTCGTTGAAATTTCGATTTAAAAAACGCCTTAGGTATTGCGTAAATGTTTGTGTAACGGGACATAAAAAAAAATAAAGGAAAAAACTGCTACCGCATTATTTTCTAATCGCTATTGCAAAAAAATGGTCCCTATAGAAAGGAAAAAAAAAAAAAATGGAAAATGCACAATGAGAATTTGACCGTACTTCCGTTAAGACTAGTGATGTAATTTCAAGTTATCCCAACGGCACCCGAAGTTAGCTGTTGCGGATCGTGGCCGCCACCACTGTTGTTACAGTCCAGGTCCAATCTTGACAGGTACGTCTGAAAATGGGCAATCCTGGCGACCACAACGGTCGGCGAGTAGTTCTCTACCATGGAATTAAATTAACCGTGTAGTCACCCAAAAACGTTGACAAAAAAAAAAAAAGCCGGAATACACTCAAACGTGTCTGGTACACAGTGCCAGGAATTCGCCGTTATTATTGAAATCTCATTTTTTTTTTCAACAGTTATCAAAAACGTAATGAAATCAAAATGGCCAATAATGGTTATATTTTTGTTTACGTTTGTTGAAAAATATAATTTTATTTGACTGGAAAACTATATAAAAAAGAATATGGTTATTTCCACATGAAATCATATGATTTCATCGCAGACGACAATATTCGTTTTAAATTAATAAATTATTTTAGTGGTATTCCTACGAAAACAGACTTTTCGGTGGTCCGTACCCTCATTTATATGCGATTGGACCGTACAGATAAATGCGAGAAAAATTATTCAGCTATGCCGAGAGATGATACTCGCGTTGGGTCGTGTATTTTTCGGACACGACGTTTTATAATAATTGTGTTTTCATATTTCGGATAAAAATTTCTGCCCGGATTTCCCGGTGTATGAGTGAATGTGATGTGCATGAGGCTGCATCAGATTACGCCGGTTATTGGCGTCACCAGGGTCGGTGGTCATTTGTCAAAAAACGACATTGCACACACGTCGCCACGCCGGCAGCGCGCGGTCATTACCGAAAACGTTATTAATGTATGTTTTATCGGTGGAGAGGGTAAAACAAATACAAAAAATTAAACGGCGATTTTTACTCGGATATTATTTTATGTGTACTTGTCAAAACACCAGTGCATACCTATAAATCCGTTTTCCCTTTGACGCCACGTTAATGGTAGTCGATGCTCGGTCGCGTTTTAAAATAAATAAGTGTCATATTACTGCAGTTCGGAAACGATGGGCTTAAAAATTTCCTAGCAAATGACAAACACGAGCACATCTGGTTTCGATGGCACATTTTGTTTGTTTGCATTTCTGTTCGTACTGTCTGTAGATGTATCAAGCAGGTAAACGATGATATCGCCTTACATAATATAATCGCCGTGATTATCCGAAAATTCAATAAACCTGTCGGTTTCCCGAGTAGATTAATACCGTGTTGTTACAGCGATAATAGTAATACTATAGAATAAAATGTTATGGTAAATCTGACAGATATTGTCCACCCGAGAACTCGTTGATTTTTATCGTCGTCATTTTGACTATTGTATAAATAATATGATCACGACAAAAATGTTTACAGACACGTGTTTTGACGATAAAAACAATACTAAATGTTATATTTATTTCTATAAATATATATTTATTACATTTTGTAAAAATACTCGAAACTAGGATTTTATGTTCTTGTACGGACTTGTACAAACTCATCGTCAATATTTGTGTTTGACACAATTTTAAAAATAACATTATTATAAATTTATTGAAATATATATTTTTTAATTAGTTGATCTAATTTACAATTAAAATAATAATTAAGGTTGTTGAGTTTATATATAAAATACCTATGCAACAGTTACTTTGTCTATCCGTCTCAAATAACTGGTTTTCACTGACTGATAAATATGTTAGTAATGCCACAGATAAGATAAAGTTTTATCTTATCTCTTTAACAACACTAAGTAACTAAAACTCATTCCAGCACGTAGGTAATTATTTTTTTCCTATTAAAGTTAAACTATTCAATGTATATTCAAGAAGAATTGATTCGCCTTACAAAAGCCGTATTTTGGGATGGGTTTAGAATCTTGACAAAAAAAATGTTGGCGAGGGGTGGCTCCCCGAAATTTTTTTCACAAATTTTATGAGCAAAAGATAATTCAGCGTTTTTTTCCGTCATCGCCGAAGGTTTCGTCCAACTTATGACGGTAACGTTGAAATAAAAAATGAAGAACACAAATCACAACTATCAATAAAAGAATAAATAATTATTTGTCTATGTATGTTGGCAATATTTGTAAGTTTTGCTATTATACATTGAGATAAGGAGGAAATAACCCCGTCCGGATGAGGGGCTATTTATTAGGATTTTGCCGCGGTTAAATATGAGTATGGTGGTGGCAACATTTAAACAATGTTCAAATTCTGGCCGAACGTATAATATTACACGTTTGTCGATAAAACTATTGGACGACAGGAAATTTAAGGCAGACTTGTGATAAATATCGTGTCGTTTATGTTAATATGTGAAAACGGATATTTGTCACTGTGCAGCCAAACGCCGGCCGTGATTCGATCCGCGTTTTACTGAGGGCATTTATCGTTTTTCATTGACAGCCGCAATAATAATTACAATGGCGTTGTAACAGTCGCGATTGCGGATAGTGCAACCACCACTGGGATATGTTACACTTAACGGGCACATATTAAAATGCATAGAGTGTCCGTTGTCGGTCAGCCTATGTGCCCGTGTTTATACGTGACACCGCGATAAAAAAATATTTATAAAAAGGCAGCGTGTGACGACTATCGAAGCTGTTTATTTCTTGCATTATTTGTTTTTTTTTGTACTGTGCCGAATCGGTCCGTCGACTGCCTCCCCGGTGGCGCATTGTGTGTAACCGTCCTCGTGGCTATTGCTACGGCTGTTGTCGCGACGTCCTCGGCTGTAGCGGCTATTTGGTTGGGGTGACGTTTCAATTATTATTGAAAACCGGGAGGCGGCCGTAAAATGAACAAAAAAAAGCTAGGGGAGAACGAAAATTATTATTATTATTATTTTTATTATTGTCGGAGTAAAAAAGAAACTGCCGGCGACGACAGGGGATATCCGCCGATGTATCCATTGGTTCTGAATTTATATTTTTGTTCCGATAGCCGATCATAGACTAATTTTAATAGATGACATTTTTTTACGCCTTGAGAATCTTTAAACACTACACCGAACATAATTTCATAACGTATTAGTAACGGCTTGATTCGACTTTTGCACTTTTTGACGAATTCTTGTGCACACAGTAACATATGATGACCTACGCAATCATTACGAAACGCAATAGACGACTTTAAAAATGATATCGAACAGACACGTCTAGACAGTGGACATTTACGATCATCGGTAAAACATCATTGCACCAGTAAAGCAAATTCTTATATCCGGTCTGACGTTGGAGGTACTGGTATTGGTTTCTCTCGTGGACATCCGGAGCTTATTCAGTGCTTTCACTTTCATCGAGTTTCGGAACTGCGGCCGATCGAATGGCTATTAATCAACGAGGGGTCCGTATTGTTATCCTTTATCTTCGGGCCATCGAGTGTATCCTCTTATACTTCCTTTTTTTTCTCAAAGCATAATAATACAGCCGGACAAGATTGTACGCATTTAAACACATGAAATATGTATTAATCGATTCGAATGCTTGTATGACGTAAGTGTTTTTATAGGACAGTTTTTCATCATTTACTAAGAAATACATTTTTCAATAACAATGAAAAATTTACTCTAATTGTTTTTTTATACAATGCTCGGGTATTTGTTTAATTAAATATAGAAAAAGTTTAATTTTTGTGAAAAACATTGATATTTGATAAAGTTATAATATAAATACAAGTAACATATGTCGAAATAATAAAATAATATACACGTACACATTTTCATAGTATTTTTTTGTTATTAAAATTAAAGATAAACATTTTAAAAATGTTTGCGATTTATAATATTTGGATGAAATTTTGCTGCTGATTCCAAATCTGGATTCAGATTTGTCTCATATCATAACTAGTTACTGATATAATTACTAATTACAATTTAAACAATAAATACACATTTTGAAAAAAAACTTATTTTTTAATGATTAATGAAAAATCGATTTAATTCCTGTTATAAAGAAACATATGCATAAATTTCGAAATATTGTAAGAGTTGTTGTATTTTTGTTATAATTACTTTTCAATCACTAATGAGACAAATCTGAAACCAGAGATTTGGAATCAACAGCAAAATATCATATAAGATTCATCTAAATAGTGTAAACGACAAAAAAATTGTTTTCTTTTTGTTCTGTCTTATTTTTTTTTTTTAGAAAAACAGTTTTTTTATATAATAGAAATGATTATTAAAATTATACATTTTTAAATTACACTTACATATGATTAATTTAATAAAAAGCCCACTGTTTAAGGGCAAGCATATAATTGTTAACTTAGATATATTATATTTTATTTCATATTTCACCAATATTTTTAATAATTAATTTTGTAATTTGTGTATTCATTGAAATTAAAAATAATATTCTTATTTTGGCAAATTTCTTTTTTTTTTACAATACATAGTAGTGAATAATCAACATGTTTAATAATCGATCGTGTTCCTCGAGTAATTATTAATTATTATGACGTATATTCCAAGTGGTTCATTTGACGTTTAACAAAGAACTAAGAGAGATAGACAATGCTTATAGTGTCAGTCGCGGGAAAAATAGTCAACGATGTGATGTTGTGCATCAACTTCCACAACCCCTCTCTTCACTATAATGCACAAAACACATACACACCGACTGCTCTCTAATAATAATAATAATAATATATAAGGGACCATATTCCAGATTTATTTATCATGAATCAGCGGTAGCAGTCCCTACGCTTACCATTATGTGTGTGTGTATGACTCACCACTTCGCCGACAACCCTCGAAGGGTTTACCAAAATCCCTTTTTGTGGGGTGGACCAGACCTTAGTTCTCTGTCAAACACACACAAGATACAGTTATTAGCTGTAACCAATAATTGGAAAAAAACGGTGGAAATAATTAAGCTACTGGATACTGTTTATATATTTTTATAAATTTATACTTTTTATTCTTAACAAAATTCACACATGTAATTACACTAATAACAGACTATACATAATAATAATAATATAAATACATATCACAAAAACGGCCCGGTGTCTATACAAACTAATTTTTAATTATTTTTATTTTTTTCTAGACGGGCAAAAAACATACTTTGGTTTTACGAAATAGTCGTATCGTCTATGGGCTTTTGTATTGATTTGTACACAAGGGAACAACTGTAAACATATATACTTTTAAAAATAAAAAATAAAGGCCTCCGGTGTAACAATTAATACATTTTACAGTACGATGCAATTATAACTGATTTAATATTATATAGATATGCTTAAAACTAGTATCACAATATTTTATTATAACCAAAATGCTTCGATGATTGTCTTTAAAACTTATTTGATTTATGAAACAAAACATCTTTGTACAAATGTGTCTATCTTGTAAAACGTTAATCGTCCGTTGCTCCGTAAGGCCTCCAAATTTTCTCTTGTCTAGGCTTGAGGCTGTCGGGACTTGACGATCGAACTGCTACGTTGACAATGTCAATGTCAGGACTAGATGTCACCTCACGTTTAGGTCTTTTTTCCATCGTCTCGCCGACACTGCAAGGTGACCTCTTCGTAGGAACTACAAGATGGTCGTCTTTTAAGGAAGGAGGTGCAGATTCTTCTTCGGTGTGTGGTGGTGTTGGAGGTAGGCTACTGTGAGTGTAACCGGCAAAATTGAACGCCGACTGTGGTGGCAAATCACAATACATTTGCGATGCTTCCATAGCGTCTGAGAAAAAACAAAACGAAAATTTAGGTTCGTTTGCTTTCGAATATTCAAATAAGATTAGATTTTTCTAGGGTTTATTTTGTTTTTTTCTAAGTAAATCATTCAGTCAAACAGAAAACTCGATTTACTTTTCGTTTGAAGTCTACACAATTTACACACCCCCAAGACAATATTTTCCCTATGTACACAGAGTTCTACAATGTTGCAAAATAAAACAAACTACATTTTCACTTACTGTGAAGTTGGAAGTAATTGGCCGCGATGTACTGGTAGTTTAACGACCCGGGTATCGCGGCACCTTCTAGAAGCCTCTTGTATTCCATAATCATGCCGTAAGACGGTAGGGGGCCGTGCATGGGAAACATGCCTCCATAACCGTGAATGACATCTGTAAAATAATAAGAAAAAATTATAATAGTGCTTCCCAGAAAACGAACGTTTCTATTGGGATTTGGTTTCGTCGCCACTGACATTTAAGAAGCGTGTAAGTCAACCAACGGACTCGGTGATTTTTTCCTTATGTTGTGTCAGAACACACAGTTTTATTGAATACAACATTTTTCGAAATATTGATTTTAATTGTGCTCTAAGCTATTATACGGCTTAGCTCGACGTTGGTCTCTCTTTTTCCCGTTTAGAAGCTGCGACTAATGCCGACCGGATTTTAATGGCCGATACTGCGGCATAAGGCATGATGCATACGCGTATAATATGAACGGAGAGTGGAGTGAGGCGGCCGACTAGTATACGCTGTGTTGAGCCCTGAGAGCTTATCGTAAAACCCTGCGCGCCCTAAATCCATTGTAATTTTTACCCCTTTTGTGGGACATAAGAGGGTCAGTTTTATGGCCAAATGTTTACTACTCGGGTAAACCTCACCCTTCCCACCCCGACAGTTTGGTCAACCATCCCGCAGCCTATGGTGAAAGCGTATAGTGTTCGACACAGCCGCCGCTACCATCACAGTTACTGCAAATTTATTCTTATACATAGCTCGTCACCAGCCCCTCCACTGCGTCCCTCAACGGGTTAAACACACAATAGAGTGACGACTACGTTAAAGGGCCTTTGTACGATAGCGTGCTCCGTAAAAGGGTGTAGTTTTTTAGTGAACTCCATTGTGTTCTCGACAGACATACGGTTAAACGATAGCCTATTTACTTGCCAGTCGTTTCCGCACACAACATGTTTTGTATTGCGTTTACGTTTTGGAAATAAGATCTGACACCTAATATCTAATTAGTCGCATAAAATGTATTCTTCAATTAACGTATATTTCGTCGTGACTTGTAAAAAATTTCGCCCGTGGCAAATGTCGTGCCGTTTTTGGATAGATTGAAAAGCTCACGGATCGTGCATGCATTTTTTATTATGTGTTCAAAAGATCACGGATGTTGTATGGAGTGCGATTCCTGGTAAAAGCGCCAAAATAATTAAAAAGGGACTGCTTTGTCGTGTATGTGGATTGGGACGTGAAAGGCGTTCATAACTAATTCCGTGCACACGACACGCACAATAAATAGAGGAAAACAAAATTGTCGACGAACACAATCGATTAATACAAATATTGTTTGATATACGCGCTCGAGAGAGGCGAATGTCGGGATGGATTCATTAAGTATTTTTCCGGGGTCTACTTAATCAATTCCTGTGCTAAAAAAAAAATAAAAAATCCCGGTAAAAATGTGTGCGCAACCATATTATCCTTGTACGGTTATACCGCTGGCGTGTTAATTGCGTTAATTCTCCGGCGCTTTGCATAAAACAAACAAAAATATAATGGAAAATCTGACAACCCACTCGGCAGAGTGGAAAAAAATCGCTGCGGAGTTCGGCAATCAACTTCACGTCCAGTGCGCCTCTATGTGTCTTTCATTATTTACACTGTGCTTGTTGTACAGTTTTTTTTATCTTCAGTGTTCGTTAATATCCTTTCCGACAAAAGACCAACAAACATGATTAATGCACTGCCACGACAGTTACCCGTTAATCCCACGCCGCACACATAAACCCTTTTGGGCATTTTCGTATTACTTTTTCCCCCCTCCCGCCATCACGTGACGTCTCTCCGTACCTTCGTTAGCGGCCGGCCGTTGTATCCTAACGATTTTGACGCATACATACACCGATTGGTTAAACCTTTTTGTTTTTTCAGCACTCGTTAGTAAAATTTTAACAAAGAAAATCATTTTGTCGACGTTAAAAAAAAATGTCCACATTTTCGGTATGGTCATCTAGATAACGACAGAAACTGAACGAGCTGTACTGTCGTTATGATAATAATAATAACTGTTGGTGAATAGTATCAACCAAAGAGTGTTATATACATGCGAGTAAACGGGTCATTGCGCTGCATAAAGACATTTGCCTGGCGGGCAATAGAATCTCCTGCAATAAGATACTTTTATGTCCCATACCCTTCGATAGGAATATGCGTGTGCTTAATAATAAAATAAATATGATTACAATTGCTTGTGAGTGTTTGCGCCAGTAATACATTAGTACGATCAATTTCAATTTCACGATACAAAGTAGTTGTTCATTAAGTGCATAATAAAGGCAGAGTTTATTCAACTAAGGTAACTGTATCGAACGAAAACAGTTAACAAACTGATTACGGTTCAAACGGCGGTGTCGACAAACTTAGAACTCACCTACAATATTTTATCCTTCAGCACAGAAAATAATAACATCACTATAAAAAGAGTGACAGTTCGTTGAGAGACCCGCATGAGTTATTGTTATTAATTAATAACATTAAAACCGTTTTAATTAACAGCTCGGCGAATGATTTGTGCGCCGTCAAAGATGTTACGTCGAAAAGGCTAAGAGAAATATATGTTTTTAACGAGTTGGGGCCGCGTGTCGTCAGAGGGTCTTTAACCCCCTGGCATCGCACTGCCTGTCGTAATGACAAAAGAAAGAGGGTGACTGTACAACAACTATTGTACGGTTTTAATCTAAAATTACCAAAGTGAAAAGCGCGACAATTTGTTTTTTAACTCTCGCCGTTGTAATATTTTTCACGAGTCGATCTTATTTGGCGTAACCAAAAAAAAATAACAACTGGGTGTATTCATAATCGTTTTGTCACGCTGTTTAATATCACTGGCACATGGTACACGAGACAATCCGTAAAATATTTAACTAGGTTCGCTGTTATTTAAGCTAATTACTATCGCGAGTGTAAACACTTACCTCTGTGATTTGAGCGAGGCAGTCTCGGTCCGTCGACGGTGATCTTAATGGCTTTGACGTAGTTAGCTACGAGCACCACTTGATCTTTGCATTGAACGGTAATGGTAAGGGTCAGAAGTTTTCCTATGCGAAAATATCAAATGCGCTATTAGTCAAACGACACAATTGTCTTTTAAAAAGTTCGATTTCAGCATAATATTTTTTTACAATAAAACAATTCCAGTTGAATTTACCTCTTCCACTGCGACCGACAAAACGGAGGTCGTTGAAAACGGCTACACCGGTAGCAGAAAGGGCACGGTAATTCCGCATGTCGGCAGATGGGTTTTCATCGTTTCCAGCTTGAACGACCACAACGGCACCGTCAGGAACTTCATCGAGTACGACCACTTTGAATGGTATGGGAAGTGACTTGTTCGATCGCCAATGGCCGGGCAAAACTGAACAGAATACCGATGGACTTCCAGTGGCTACCATTTCTTTGCCATGGATAGCTCGGACATCTTCCAGGATACAAGAAATGTATTTTTGATAAACTGAGTCTAAATCCTACGACAATTTAAAAAAAAAATTTTAATTTCTTTAAATATCAGATATAAAATATTTTTGGAAAAAAATGGTTTTATTAACAAAAAGATATTTCAACGTTTTAAATAAAATCATATTAATGAAATTGTATTAAATCAAAAAAAATATATGATAAGCGAAGCTGAGAAGGTATTAATTTTAGTTTGATGTGATTTTTTTTTTTTATTACTAACTTTTCAATTAAACGACACTTAAGTGCACTCGATACAATAGTTAAAATGTGAAATTTTCCATTTCGATTTTTAACTACAATCGATTAGTGTTGATAGACATTATTTAGTTGAAAAATATAAATCTAAAAGTACTCACCATAATTAATCCAAATTATGTGAAAATCAACAAAGTTGTTTTTAATAAATTCGCACAAGTTATTAAGTGGATAATCAGCGAGTTTAACCGTCGGACACTATACGACACCACGGTGCGTATGACGAGGTCGCGTGGCTGGCTTCTCCGTTTGGCACGTTGGGCCAAGTCTGTGATGACAATATAGACCGAGGGTTTAAAAAAAGGTAAACTAAAAAACGCGACAAACCGCGTTACCGATCTCGGCACAACTGAAAATATATTCCTCACGCGGAAGGGACTCCGGGACTCGTGTTATTCCCCCACCGCCACCTCTGTGGCCGACACGGTAGTAGTATTTTTTTTTTTCACTCGACTCGCGCGCCCCCACCAATGTTCATACATACGTATATTCTCTGCGTGCGGCTGGGTTTTTATGCCACAAAAGGCGCGCGCCCTATGGGTTGTGTGTGCGGTGGTTGTTGTCAGTGGAACAGCGACGGCGGAGAGAGGATTTTTGATTGACCGTACTGTGGCGGAGGGGTGCTATACGCATACATACGCGGCAAGCGCCCCTCCACCACGTCGCGGTAATGCCACCGCCGCCGATACCGCTACCGGGACGGCGGTTTGTGGCCAACCCGTCGACTAAAAATGCGCTGCCCCTTCCCCCGCGTGCCTACGGTAAACTCCGACGCGGAAAGAAAGCGCCTCCGCGCCAGAGGGACGGGCCACAATCGTTTGGCGACCGCCCCCAGTAGTGTGTACGCTGCCGTGCGTGTCACTGCCTTCGTAGGTAACACTGTGCAGTACTGTTGCGTATCTTAATACTTGTTTTGTACGAGTAATCCTAGTGAAGGTTTCTGTTGTAATTGTTCGCACTATTTATCACATTGTCAACCCATTCGCAGATTGCCCACTATAATTACATAACAAATGTTGTCTGTTTATCAATAGAATAACCTCAGTTTTATCAATTAATTAACCGAATAACTTAAATTAGTTTTTAAACAAACAAAACGTACTATTTTCAACACAACATTTTGACGACCTAGGCATACATGTAATTAGATAGACCTATAGGTTAGGCCGGAATTTTAAGAAAGAGTATAGATGTTAGGAATGATAAAACCTAAGTTGGCTAAACGCGTTTAAATGCTTTTGATTGACATGTAGCTAAGTTTAAACATGTTAAATAATACTTATGTAATAAAACATGATGTTTAATTTATTTATTATTTAATCTGGCTTCTATTATATATTTTTCTCAATTTATAAATCATAAAGCATTTATTATATTCATTCCTTGTACCTTTAAGGGTATTAACATTGTGTTTCCAAATGGCACATATAATTAACTAGTTTATTTAATATAGTAATCCAATTAAGATAATGACTGGTGAACAACAACTTTTGGATCAATGTTTAGGAAATTATTAACATTTTATAGTGATGTCTGAAGAAGAGACTTTTATGGTTGGTACAATATCAATTTATGGGTCGAAATTTGGTCAATTAACCAAAAGAGATTTAGTTGGTCATAATCTCGTAAAAAAAATCTGTATTTAAACTATAAATTTTATTTTTACAACACTGTTTTTTGGTCGGTATGTTTGTTAAACAGTCACTTCAAAAATTGATAATTATCAATTATAATCAGTAATATTATCTAAAGTAAAATTATATCGTGATCAATTGCATTTAAAAATTTAAAAATTTACTTTGTTGTATTTAGTATCGCTAAGACCCAACATTTTGTATAGAATTATTTAAAAAATGTGATAGCAAAAAAATGTGTTAAAGGAATTAATCATTACTGCTCTGAGTATGTTACTCATCATAGTAAGTATGATGAATATGGTAATCATCAAGTAAATCATATTTTAAAAAAACTTGTGTGAATATTATAACATTAAACAATAATATTTAATTTTTAAATAAGTCGACGTTACCATAATCGCAGAAGATGAAACTTTATCAATAAATAATGATGATGAAGAATCAAAATTAAAACGATATTAATGATATTGTTGATAGTTTTTAAATAAAAGATTACTTTAAATTCATAAGGCCTGATTTCAAATTACCAAATCGTAAGTAATTAACAAAAAAACTAATGGATAAATCTTGATTGATTGAAACTACTAAACATATTTCATCGTTCCTTAGTAGTAAAAATGTTTTTTATCTTTACCTAATTCATAGTACGGCACATACAGGCGAAATCGGTCTGTATGGCAAATTATCCATGAAAAAAATCGAAATAAGTTAAAAACAATTACTATTGAAAAGTTAAAATTTGTTCACCATAACTTGTGTTACATTAAATGGCTTGTTAGAATAGATACTTTTTCACCTCTGTCAACTGTTTGGATCAACTTTTTTTCTGATATTTTTAAAGACGTGTATTTAATTGACACCACACTCGTGACTGACAATGTTTACTTTACTCCAAATAAAACCTGACTAAAATAAAACTGCAGCAAACCGATCATCAATAATTTAAAACAAGATAAAGTTTCTTGTTACTCCCGATAAAAATCTAGTTCTACACTTTACAATAAAAAATTGACATCAGATTTTGTTATAACAATAAAATACAAAAATAAAAAATTATTCATTAATAGAGTTAATATGCCTTAATTTTTTTAATAAAATTCTGAACCCGTCAAAATATTAATCTATCAGCAAAAATGTTTGCAGTTTTCCATAAATTTAAAATTTTTCTAAGTCAAAAAACTATAATTCCATCTCCTTGTCCATTATTAAATGATAAAAAAGGTCATAAGTTTTTGTGTATTCATTTATACAACAACTGTTACTAGTAGTACCAGTTGTTGTAATGAATAAGGATATGGTAGAGCAACATATTTGGTCACTAAAAAACGGCACATTATTAGTTTCAACAATAAAACTTTTAGCATTTGTCCACATACAGAATTTGGTATCTAAAAATTTATAATCATAAAAAAATATTAGATAATATAATTTTTTTTTAAACAATTAAAAAAAATACATACTTATGTTGAAGCAGTTTATATTATAGCGTGAGTACACATTTGAACATTACTCGGTAAATTTTGTATTAAATTGACGAATAATGATAATTAAATTTTTTCAATATCTGCTATGTGGGTAATAAGAGACAAGGGGACAGAGTGTTTTATTTTTATTCCCATTATGTAAAGTTTATTTATTTAGTTAATTTAAAATTGCAATGAATTGTTAGAGATGAAATTACCGGATACAGACTGCAAGTTAATCACTCTGTATATACGATCTAAAATATTTGGTCAATTTACTCCACCACCATTTCCTTATCCTCTGTCCTAAATATTTGAAGTCAGTTCTACTTTACAATGATTTGACACGATTTTTATACAGGCTGTTTAACCTGACGCAACTTCATAATGACCAAAGGAGCTATAAGAGGCAATATACGTATCACTGTTAAAGTTCCATATGATCACCCATCTGGGAACTAACAGCAATTAGCGCAGCTGAACATCAGCGCTAAGACAGCGACTGAATGACCACACCACACCATTGGTGAATTTATTTCGTATGAAATTAATTTTCTTGTGAATAATTTATAACATCTGACGATAAAATGTAAATTGATTTTAATTTCGGTTTGAGCAAGGTCGCCCACAAAAAAGTTTTTCAGGAGTGTAAAAATTACTGTCGTCAGTGTAACTATTATTAATAATATAACTTATACTAATAACAATAATTTTGACAACTGTTACAATTTATTGTAACAACTGCTTTACAAACTTTAATATTAGTACACTCTAGAAATTTGCTTACTTAAATTATAATTAAATAATAATAACTGCTTATCAAAGCCACTAATTAAAATTTTAAAAATATAAAATAATTGAAATTTTATTACAATAAAAAGACAAATCATAATGAATAACTGTAACATTTAAATATTAAGTATAAAAATGAATTTTCTTTAATTGTATAGAAATATTCAAAATATAATTATCTTTTTTATTTAAACTCAGTTTATATAATTTGATGGGTACTTACTTTAAACTAGAATAATATAAATAATAAGAAGAATATTTACATAGTACAATAATCATTTTGCTGTCTATAATATTCAGGAATATTCCCTATATTATATAATAATAAGAATTATTCTTATTTCGAATTTAGCTTCAAATTGCTCGAGTCACAACTAATTTTTGAGATCATTAATAATTAATAATTTAATACCAAGTTATTGTTAATTATTAAATTTTTATTAAACTTGATTTTATGATAAAAAAAAAAGTTGTGAAAATTTGGGCATAACACGTTAAGTTGAATCTTTTTATAGACTTTTAGATTTGCTGTTTGATGTACATTATTCAGCACAAAAAAGTTGTACTCTCCGCAGCAAGTATTTTTGTGTTAATTTAATAATTTTGAAATTATTTAAACTCTCTTCATCCGGTATTGTCAAAGATCAATAAATTCAGTGTAATTTATGCACTATTGTCCATGATGATATAAAGACCTATTTCTCAACAATGCAAGTACCTTTTCAAGAAAATTTCATGTAATAGTTACTTCAATCATTACGCAAATAACCGTTTTACAACATAATATTCAAAAACAGAATATTATTCGTTCATATTATAACAGATGGACGTTTAAGTGTAGGGTAACCCGACAGAAATTGTAATATTAATCGACTCAAAACCGGATTGTGGTGTCACTGTTGATCACAAACGCATGTCACATGCGTTTAAATAATCAGTTTGACGGAGTGCAATTACCGAGTACATTTTACATTAATTTCATCGTTTAAACGTATGGAATAGTGCACAACTATGTGTGACAACTTCCGGCCGACATTTGGTAGACCGACTGTGTAATATTGCCGTGTTATAATTTTTTTTGTTTTTGTTTCAAGACGATTACCTACACCAAGCAATTTATACGTCAGTTATGTCTGCATAGACACGCCGTTATTATCTCATCAACCTTTGCCGGTGGGCGCAGCTGAGCTAATCGAATTTCAGGTTACCACCGACCGAAATGGTTTTCGGTATATAACATGTTATACCATTCTTGTACACCATATTAATAATTCGATTAAACCATCATCACGGTCAATACGTCTACCAGTGGTCGGGTCTTGTCGGTTAAACGAAATTAGCCGCATGATAAAACGTTCATATAACATCTGTTTTACGGCAAAAATGTCAGCGTGTATAAAATATCATTTTTTAACTGTAATTATATTAATTTTTTTCATTTTACGAGGTTTTTACGCAATATAACTTCATCGTAACATTATTTAGCTTATCGAATAATGAAATTATTGAAAACAACTGGGTTT